AAATCTATTTCTACTGTTGTCGTATTTCTTTCTTGCAACCATACGCTTGTTCATAACACTGGTGTCAGAAGCGTACAGCAAGAGAAATATGGTCGACTACACGAGCTTCACCCGAGCCGAAGTATTTACTCTCATCAAGGAACAGAAAACACTACTATTCAACTTGAAAACAGGACCAACACAGCCTTCCTTCCGCCCACGATACAGGAAATTCAAGCCGACATAAACGACATGCTGAGTGCCCTAAAATAACTACTTCAACACCTCCCACCGCTCAAACAAACGGCGATTACAGCTTAATGATGCGCCAACGAACTATACGCGACATATTGAAGCTAGAGAGAATTTTTCACCCTGACACGACGAACCGATTCATCACGGCCCTAAACAAAAGATACACAATCTACGTCACGCCGGAACTCAGCACCTATCCCAGCCTGGAATGCGAATTCGTCAAGTCTGCTAAAGATTTACTGACCAAAGTATCTTTCAGTAGATGGTTGACTCAAAAAAGGACATATCCACCTTCGAACAACTGAAGGAATACTTTATTAGCAGCCCACGGAAGCCAGATGACTAATTTCAACACCTCAATCAAGCCTGGGATCTGGAACGGCGAGACGGCGAAAAATTAACAGACTTCGCGGGTCGACTCAAAAACACCCCTTAGAGAAGCAGCCGTCCATAAAAAAACAAATACAAAAAGACAAAAATACAGACCTAACAGTCGATGGACTTATTTCCATCATCGGCGCTATGCTAATGAGCGAAAAGGTGAAAATTTGGAACTCGAATCTTTACCCACATCTCGTCAAGACAATGGACAACCACTATTCAGCCATTGGCATAGCCTCCGAAGCTCAAATATACCTTGATCGCGGTGTAAAATCCAACGACACAACTTCGCACGACACTGTGTATTTCACACAGAAACCACAGCAGTCAAACCAAAGAAACGCGCCACTCCGACCCAGCAGGCAACCAAACCCACAGCAGACGGGCCTCACCAACCCTCCCGAACATGGCCACCATCCGACATGCAGAAACCATCAGCACACACCACGAATCAGCGTGTGCAAGAACTACCTCGGAGGTCGCCCCTGCCACCATGGACGCAACTGTGTATATCGCCACCCACCTCGCACTCGGGCACAGGCCCACATCGCCGCAACGAATGACAATATACAAGCCATAAATGATGTGGAATAGGATTTTCGCTTCGGGCAGGACGAGATGTGATGCCTCGTTCGCCATGCCCCTACGTCAGCCATCACACCTTCAACTTTCGAGGACTCGCTCACCATTCACCGCTCGTCCAGTCCACCTTCAAATTCAGGGACATCACCTTCTCTGGCGTCGCAATGTTAGACTCTGGATGCTCCACCTGCATCGTACCAATATCTCAGTTACCCAGAGAAGCCAAGAACTCGCGACCCCGCTCAGACGTCGTAGTAAAAGGAATCAACGGCAGCACCACCGCCCTCGGCGAACTGACTTACGACATCACCATCGGCAGTCGAGACTCACCCACATTGAAAAAGGTTAACGTGCTGGTAACTACCCAAACCACACCAATCCTGATCGGCCAAAATATCCTACGTCACAACACGCTCGATTCCTATCTAATCGACAACCAAAATGCGACTATAGAATTCAGGCGCACACTTTCCTCAGGATGCACAACACACACAGCCGCAATCATATCACCGTCATCGTCAACCAATGATCCAGCATATGGCGCACAAGCTGACATCATCCAAAACCAGCCTACTATGGAACTGGCCCCAATATCCAGACACTGACAAAAGCTAACCTGGCTAAAACATAACACGGGACTATCGCTACCAAACCGAGACGAACCAGAGGCCACTGCAACTTACTCATTCGCTACGCTGACATTATCGGCACCAAAAGTAGCAGCAAAGGCACATTCATCCGACCCATCCGCATACCAACCAACGGCCAGTCTCGCAGCCAGAAATAACACCCGATAGCCCAGGCTTGGAAGCAGACGTAGATACCGAAATTAAGCGTAAGCGCATTGAAAACTGCAGCGACCCCAAATGCTTCAATAGCCCTGTATTTGCCGTACGCAAGAAAAACGGATCGATTCGTGTCGTTGCTAACTTTAAAAGAACTCTCAACAAGGTCTTAGTCTATCTTGACCCCACCAATGCAAAGGATTGACCACTTGTTCAACAAAATCGGCAAAGGCAATAGATATTTTACTACCCTTGATCTACGCAGCGGCTACTGGCAAATTGAGATCGACATGCGAAACCGATACAAAACAGCATTTGTGGGAAGGACCAATGCTATCAATACATCGCGCGCCTGGCCTTACATCTGCCAGACAAATCTTCTCCGTTGCATAATAGAAGCCCTTCCACGGTCACATCCCGTGACAACATTTCTTCCTATATCGACGACAACCTGGTCCACGCTAGGACATTTAGGGAGTACATACCTCCCTCGAACAATTTTTACTGCCCTCCGAAAATTCGGTCTCAAGCTGAATCTCATAAATGTTCCTTCCTCGCATCAGAGGCAAAATTCCCGGACGCATAGTAAACAGCGAAGGATTCAATCTGATCCAGAATACGTTCGTGCCACCAGGAAATGAAACCGCCAACATCAAAAAAGGAATTACAAAGCCTTATCGGCCGTCTAGTGTGGATCAGACAATTCCTAGAGACACGTATTCACGAATAAATCAGGTCAGATATGTTTTCAAAACTTATGGGTCCCATACACGAACTCAACAAGGTTAATAAACCGTTTGTCTGACGCAAAATGCCGACAGAGCCTTCAAAAAAAAAATCAAGGACCGTCTCTCTTCGCCACCCGTCATCTCGTTTCCAGATTTCTCAAACTTTCACACTCACCACCACTGACGCCATTGATCGCATGTGGAGCAATCTTAATGCAAGAAGGCGACAACGGGAAGAAAGATATCCTTCACATTCAACTCCATGGAACACTTCACTGCAGAAGTCTATCGACAATTCTGTAACCAGATGTCAATCACGCAAGAACTTCACTGTCCCTGGCGCCCGCAAAGCTCAGGAAATATCGAGAGACAACATCGCACGATGAAGAACGCACTTTATATGTTATGAAGACAGGAACTGTGAATGGACAGACGTTCTAGAATCTGTCGTTTCGTCCATGAATGCCACGACCAACAGCGCCACCGGTGTCTCCCTGCATATGCCATTACCGGCCGTCACCCCAACGTCGGCCTACCACCCTGCACATAGAAAAGAAATCACAAGCGACGATCCTGGAGCATATAAATTCAAATTAATGCCCCTGCTAAAACAGGGTTCACCACCATGTCACCCTGGCCAACGATGAAGCTGACCACAAACTTGAGACCTACTTAAATCGCCTCACATACAAGGACCCAATACAAGTAGGCGACAAGGGTTTACTTCATCGGCCACACTCAACTGTTGCCCAATCCTCTCATCTGCCCTGGATAGGAAATTACACCATTATAAAAACGAACAATATGATGTGTCAGGTGCAAAACGATGATGGGGATACAATCTGGATTCACCGTGTACATATCCGACGACTGGCTCCACGCCCAACACATCTTTCTAATACAATCCCTCTGCCTCCACCATGTCACCAGGATCATTCTCCTCCACATCCCTCGGGGACACATAATTCAGCAAATAACCCCATACCAAAACAAATGCCAATAAGAAGAACGCGAGGACAACTTCCCACACGCTTCAGAGACTTTATCATGACTTAATCACCCAAATATACACGAATAACGCTCACTGTAAATGAGACCGAGATCTGGGGGAGCCTTGTTATAAAATAAAATCTCGGCTGATTTACAGGCAAATACTCAAGAGCGAGAACCGGATGTAAACGGGACAAAGCTCTGTCACAAAATGACCATTATCTTTCTTTACAAATGTTCCCGACACACGTGTTCCGGTCGAAAAATAAAATAATATTTAAAGTGCTCTATTTTTCGTCCAATAAAAATGCTTCCCTCCTAATTATACTCGCTTCGTTTTTCGAGCCTGTTAAGCCATAAAAAAACGCTATAAAAGGGGTCACACGGAAGTTCAACAGGCAGTCCACAGGTGCCCAGAATAGAGACCTGTTACGGTAAGCAGCTGTCAGCAAGGGAGCATCAACCACCGTCAACATGTGTGAACTACTATGAGAGATCGATCTAGATCCGAAAGCCGGCTTATGAACTTTACCACAAAGTAGCTGTCCCAAACCCTCACGTTCTTGTTGAAATAAACCACGTAAATCTATTTCTACTGTTGTCGTATTTCTTTCTTGCAACCATACGCTTGTCTATAACAATTTTTAAATCAAAATTATGATCACCCATTATTATTGTGAGTAACGAATGCATTGAGTGTGTTGTTTTGTAAAAGATCCTTTTTGTATTCATATAATCTTTTATTCAAATTTCCCGAAGTTTCTCCTATGTATTCCTTGTGACAATCGTCACAGATGATAGGATAAATTCTTCCTTCAGGTTTTAACTCATTCTTTATTTTGTTTTATATTAATTAAGTCACTTAAAGTTTCAGAAGTAGAAAAAAAAATCAAAATTCCAGCGTTCCAACATCTTCCGTGTTTCCTGTCGTACATAATTATAATCGATGGTTGCGTTTTTATATTTCACCCACTAAGCATATAATTCTGTCAACGTTACTTTAAATGTGCATATATATATTTATATGTGTGTGTGTGTGTGTGTGCAGATTATGTAGGTCAATGAAAGAAACTCTATAATCCTCTAATTTTGCATAATATTCAGAATAATTTAAAATTTATTTGAACCTCTCTAAGAATAAAATCACAGTATTTGTAGTGTATACTAATGTTTTCATACTAATTTATACTAAATTTATACTAACGTTTTTACCTTTTAATTGATTGATTTAATTTTTACGGCTTATCAACCTTTTGTGGGTTATTTAAAGCCAAAACATATTTTGGCTTGTAGGAGGTTGCTTACAGTACCAAATGTTCCCATATGGTCCCCCATCTAAGTACTGGCCACATTAAATGCTGTTTAACTTTAGTGATCAAATGAGAACCAGTGTTTTCAATTTAACATTTAAGTATAAATTAAATGATAGGCACATTTTTCTGATTATGACATACACTACAGTTTAAAAGTAATTTTTTTAAATTGGTCCCAAAAGTGGTTGTTTTGCAATGTAAATAACAGAAAATTATTATACATGGTTAAAAAAATGGGAGATGATTTCTTATTAGAAATTTTATTACGACAAAAAGAAAAAAAAAGCATATTATGATTAAATTTTACTCTTGTCAAAATATCCTCCTTTAGCCTTGATTGCTGCAGCACAAATTTTTGGCAATGATTGCAAAAATTTCTCAAAGTATAAGTTTTATAATTGATTCCATTTTTTTTTAATGACTTTAAGAGCCCCGAGCCCCTTTTCATTTCTTTCCACTCAAGTTCATCCCATGTTAATTCTGGAGGTGGCTTCAAACTTTTCAACTGTAGTGTGTGTATATATATATATATATATATATATATATATATATATATATAACGGGTAATAAATCAATTGGTATATAATCCAAATGGATCCTAGTAGCATAAAATATTAAAAACGATCCACAAAAGAGCTCAATGTATTTATTATAACAGAGCCAATAAATAGTATTACGCAACAAAATCCTAAATTACCTCATACAGGGGGGGTGAATAGATCTATTTCAACTGCTGAAAACTTATGTCAGTCTTATTCAACCACAGTGTATAGACTGAGTTTGTGTCGGAATTAGAAATTTTAAAATTGTGTATCAAATTTTCGATGGCTGTCAAAATTAAATTTATAATTCTGACAGCAACTCAGTCTGTACACTGAGATTGAATAAGACTGACATAGTTTTCATCGTCTGAAATAGATCTACCCCCCCCCATATGAGGTAATTTGGATTTTGTTGTGCAATACTATATATATATATATATATATATATATACTCTCAACTCTCCCGTCAAATTCAATGTATGAGGATCAAGCAGATCAGTTCCTAGGAAATTCAGCCCGACAACAGCACATGAGATTTGATTATAGTGGTGAAGGTTTCATGCAGGACCATCCACGCTTTTTGAAGAGCTGAATACAAAGACCTGGTGCACTATATGCCACAGGGTCCCCAACGACCCCTTTGAGGTTTTAATTAGAGTTGTCCTTCTCCTAAACCAGTTGCCATCCAAGGCTATAGATCCTAGTCTGTCCTGCTAATTACCCATAGCTGGAGGGAGGAGAAGAGGATTGGATTGAGGAATCGGAGAGCCAAGTTGGAATTCCAGTTGAATCCGTTACATTCCTTTACATGCTAATATATATATATATATATATATATATATATATATATATATATATTCCTGAGTATAGGATTGGTGTATATGAAATAAATTCCAATAACCAAAAAATACTATTCTTAAAAGAGTGCTCAATACAGAGTAGAGCAAATATAATTTATTTGAAAATTATAATATAAATATGTTATAAAATCACTACAAAAATATCCATTTTGTTTCAATACTTCTGGTGTCTTATCAAGCGATGATGTTGTTCAACACCATCTTTTGATAGCACACCAGATATTTTTGTAGGGATTTTATAACATATTCATGTTATAATTTCCGAATAAATTATACATATATATATATATATATATATATATAAGAAAATATATATCAGAAAAACTCTATATAAATTTTTATACATCAAGAATGATTTTTTAAAAATCTGACAAAATGTAAAAAGTGTGAAACATTTTGTCCTTTAAGATGTCATTAAACTAAAGTTATGTTTATGTTGATGTGATTACACATGTGCATGAAGGAGAGATGATACTGAAATTTTTAATTTAAAATTTTTTCAGTAAATTTATGTCCAAGTTCTGGTTTTTACAACATTTCAACATTTTTGACAGATCTTCTATTTTCACAATGTGTGATATTTAATAATAAAAGTGATAAATACATAAAGAAAAAGAAACTAAATAAAATTGACTACACTTTACACACAAAATCCATATATTTTTAAAAAATAAAAAAATTTTCATTTAAATTTACTATAAAACAATTCAAAATGTCTAAATTAATTATTACCAATAATTCAAGGCCTCAAAGTCTACTCTGTGTAAAAATAATGGCCTTTTCAGGGATTGTATCTCCAATCAACAAACATTAAATTCTTGCATTAGTCACACAAGCACCACACTTTCTCAGAGGTTAACCTGTCATGTGTCAATCAGTGCATCACAAACTGACAAAATATCATTAACATAAAAAAATTTTAATAGATAACATCAAAATAGTAGGACTCAGAGACACTTTTGGACTCTATCAATTGAAGACTGGGCAGCTGCTGCTTATATTTGTTCCTTTGCCATTTGTTTTTTTTTTCATATATACTTGCAGGATCTACAACAGTTACTGATAAATATATATAAATATATATATTGTGTTATTATCATATTTCACCAAAAAGGTAGATGTTATCTTCCTTTTTCATTTTTTTTTTTTTTTTTTTCGGTATCACCCCATGTTATGGGTAAATATCAGGATAGATTGGGTTCTATAGCTTTGGGTGGCAACCTGTGTAGGAGAAGGTAACTCTGAATTCAAAACCAGCATGGGGAGAGTTGGGCTTCGCCAGTCTATCTTGCCCAAGACACACTACTACTACTGTGATTGCAGTACATGTGGTGCTCCTAAAACCCTGATGGGTCATGTGATTCGCAATTGCAATTACAATCACCCCATGCAAGGCAGTAAAGCCACTAAAACACAAGGGGTTACAAGGTGTGGAAGAATTAGGAACAGAATCATTGATAATGAGCAGGAAGAGTGTTGTGGCCTTGTTAGGGCCAGAAATAAAAACACAAAAAGAGGAATTGAGTTAAACAAATATATTAACAAAAGCAGTAATACAAACATATACAAACAAGAGTGTTACAGCAAGACTGTTCGGTCCGACTGTCAGAGCTGATTGCTGGAAATTTCCCACTCCAAAAGGTAGTACCTGCTTGTATTTATAGCTTGTAGAGTCCATGCGTGTGTGGGTAAATTACCATAACAAAGAGGAAAGAGTAATCATCAGGAAAATAGATAGCAATTGACATTGCATTTAAATTTTTGCAGATTAAAGTTGGCTGGAAAGCATGAAGCCGGATGAAAATGTTTGCATAGAACTTGCACATGTCTACATCTAGCCAGCTCAAAAAAATAGCTGTGAATTGACGAGACTTCAATGCAAGTCTAGCTTTGAATCAGTAATTCAAATGCATCCCCACCCCCACTCCCGGGACATCTAGTGCAAATAGATTCATTTATCTACAGATCAGCCTGCTTTTGCTTTCATTGCACCACATCTCTTTTTGATTCTTTTCTTCTATTTATTATTTATTTATATTTTTATTCCTTGAAGGCTATTAACATTCATACAAGAATATCCTGATGCCTAGGGCAGGTGTCAAGTGTCTTGTTTACTTAATTTGGACGAGAAACTTTCTTATTTGAATTTTACTCTAGTCTCTTGTACTTAATGGTATAACAAATACAATTCACTCTTCCAAAATCATACTCCTTTCATTAAAACTCTTACATAACATTTTAATAGTAAATAGTAAACTGTCTTTGGTTCATAAGTGATCCACTGATTTGTTTAATGGCATATCAACTCCTTATGGGTCATTTAATGCCTAAATTTAATGTTCTTTGAAAGTAATAATATGTTATTCTGTTTTCACAATTGAATAAATGATAGATCATTGTTTCTCAACCTTTTTAAGCAACTGCACACCTAGGAACAAATGAAAATATCACGACACACTTAGCAAAATTTTTAAAGGGTATGCATTTAAATGTTATGAAATAAAACCATAGATTTGAAAAATTACACACACAAATATGAACTTACTTTATTTCAATGTTTCTATTCAACTATTTTTAGTGTGAAACCAGTGCCTGGTGTTCTATTGTGATTTCTTCAATATTTCTTGGCATACTTAAGAGGATTGCACAACACACCAGTGTGCCACAGCACAGTGGTTGAAAATCACTGTGGCAGATGATATTCAGCTTTTGTGCATATACATATTTGTTTGGACATAGCTACTAGAAGTGGTGATATGTATGTTTTATGTTGTAGTTTTTTTGAAGTTATATTTTTGAAATTCTTGAAGAAATTGTATGATATTATATGGATTAATGTCATGAAAGAGTTCTTTCATGTTGGTTATTGGGTTGATTTTGCTTAGCAGCATTTCAAATTCTATGGGTTATTTAATACCAAAATCTAAATATTTTGAATGTAACCGTATGCCTCCAATGACAGATAAAATATATTGTTGGTAATCTTTTTTTTTATATAAAAATGGATTGCTTGTATCTGTAGTATAAAGTAGAGTTTGAAAAACAGGAGAAATACTTAAGACAATATATAGTTATTTTCCAAGCATAACTTAGATGTGGCACAAGGCTGAAACTATGAAGCACCCAGTGAGGATCGAACTCACTACTCAGTCATAATTGTTCTAGTGAGACAAGCTTAATAACCATTACACCACCTTGAGTGTCCCACTCCAGACAATATATATATATATATATATATATATATATATATATATATATATATATATATATATATATATATATATATATATATAAGAAAATTAAGACATAAATGATAAATCTATAATATTTTCAATGAACTGTTTGAAAACTTCACAGTACTAATGTTATGACAATGCCCTTCAGTATTACAGCACCTGGTATTCCCAAGTGGTCTTAAATATCGTTCTACAGAAGGATACTGAAAATTCTATGGACAGAGCACATAAGCAATGACAAAGTTTTAAAGAAAATGTTAACAGAAAGAACACTTATACTCAGAAACAAAAAAAAAACAGCTGAAGTTCCTTGGACAGATAATGAGAAAGTAAGGCTCAGAAAACTTAACCCTCACAAGGCATATTGAAAGCAAGAGAGATAGGGGAAGGCAGTGAACCACTTACCTGATGAGCCTAGGTCTATGGACAGGGATGAGAACCTTAGCT